GCTTTTTATTACTGAATTATTTGGCTTACGAGACGACGAGTCGTAATCAGTAGAAAAAAGTAACACAAAAAATATATAGAATAAAAAAATTAAAAATATTTTATTTATTTTGTTAATAAAAACCATTAAAATGTCGATTATTTTTTCTGTGGAGAGAAATTTGTGTTTGAATTAAATTAACCATTTTTTTGCTGAACCAATATATACTGGATTTGTGGTGTAATTTGCTTTTAGGCAAACCAGTGATAGTTATTTGATAACCTCAACAGCAATTGCTGTCCAACTTATATACAAAAATTCTGTTATTTAACATATAGTTTCCATTACGCGGTTAACTCTCCCGGCGTTCATATACTGTAAATATTAGGGCAGAGTTGGCTTATATCCCATATAACTTTTACTTCGCCTCCAGAGCCACTGTTTTAGTAGATAATTGTGTGAGAAGTTTCTCAACACACAAAATAAGTAGAATTTCTTTTAAAATAATTATTTGTTTTGAAAATATTTAAAATTTTCAGACATAAAAACTAGAGTATAGTTTTATAATGGTTTTGTTGATAAGTTACAAATCATACCAACACTTAATGAGAGAAATTATTAGTCAATCGTTTACCTTAATTAAAGTTTGGATCTTAAAAATAAATATTTCGTAAATTTAATTAGTCGTTTGCAGACAACTAGAACTAAAACAAATTAAATATTTATTTAAATAAAAAAAATTATGTAAGACTTTACGACATGACATACTGTGAGACATAATTTTGTGCGACAGAAAGAAAAGAGTAAAAATTATAACCATTTTATCGTAAATTTATATTATTTTTATTCATTTATTCCATATATAGAAGTGAGCGATGGTTTCGTATGTCCGGGTATGCAATCATTCATACTATATATGATATTTATGCCACAAAACTAACTAAAATTTTATAAAAACACACCACTAGATAATACCGAGACAGACCAACCTGGTCATTATACCAGACACGCCCACCCAACCGATTGCCGTAAATTTTATGTCTGCATAGAGAGTGTTGCCCGACCTTATGGTATGCATTATTAACAAATAAATAATTGTTTTAATACTATTATTAAACTTTTTTGATATAATAACACAAATTTGAATAATGTATTCAATTGTTTGCAATTCAATATTGTATACAACATTTGGTTGTTTAAAAGTTTAATATTAAATATTAGTTCTCTGAATACACTCCCGATCTTCACCCACTCAATGACAGTTTTATTGGCACACATTTGAAACATTATTAAAATATAAAACCTTATGTGAACCCAAAAATCTTTGGGTTTGTTCACTATAACGAATATTTCAAATGCAAAATATCATCATTTAATATAACACATAAAACACATAAAAACATAATTTAATTTACATTTCTGGTTTTATTCACCATTAAATAGGCTGCAGTATAGGCACAGTATTCAACGTTGAATCGCTGCAATGTGACGATCCCGAGAACGTACCTGGATGGTATGTGTGCCAATTGGCTTATGATTTAAATTGTTCCCTAATTTTACATTATTTAATTGCATTAAATTATTTTTTAATACATTAATAGCGAGAAATATTATGGAGATCTCGACTCTAAACAAGTGAAAAAATTGCAACGCGAACCGCCTGCGTTGATTAGTAGTTTATTTATTGAATATATAATTTGTGCGTTGATTAAGTTGGGTAATAAAAAAGATTCTCAGTTAAATAAAGAGTTAAAAATGTTTGTATATTACTTTTGTCAAAAAAATTATTAAAAAATTATCGTAATTTTCCACTCGATTCTTACGGTCGCTGTAATCCATAACTTATACTAAAAAAGCATTTAAAGACTTCACAACTTTTGCATACACTGTAGGAATTATAGTGAATCTGTTTTCTCTGCCCTCTTATTTCAAATCTCATTAATTTTAATGTTAGACTCCATTAATGTAAGAAAAATAGCTGTTTTATCGCTACAAATAACACATAAATTAATTATTATAAAAAATAAGTAATGATTTGTGTAATTCGTTGGACAAACCATTTGTACCAAAGAATCCCATACACTAGAGAGACAGACCATTACATCTGAAACCACTATCTCTATTGGTATTAACTATCACTTAAATGATGTATTTTATAAAATACTGTTTATTATTATTATGTCATTACAGCGAAATAATTTTTGTATTTTCATTATTATTATTAATTTGGATCTAATTTTGTGTTTTTACTGTGAAAAACCAGATTATTTTTATACGAAATAATTGTTTTTTATATACAATAATAAAAATAAAAACTGTGCCATTGTTTTGATGTTATGTTAACTTTATTTTTATAAAAAAAACTTTTTTAATACTATAA